TTGACACGTTTTGGGATGGTGGCTAGACGATCCTGCTCCAGCTTTACAAGCGTTCACAAGTTTTACCAAAGTGAGATTTGCAAACCGGAGCAAGGGAAGCAGTGATAGTACAAAATGCCCCCCCCCCGTCGATAAACAGCGCCGAAATCTTTCTTAATGCGTGCTGACTCGTTTTCTCAAAAATCCTGCCAATTCATTGGTGATTCTCATCGCGTGCCATGGTGTGGTCGATTGAGTGAATAGCATTTCCTGTGAAGGGGGTTGGACGATTGCCAGAGATATGAACTACTCAGATGCCTTTTGGCGATCCACCCGACTACGTGCACTTGAGGACCAACGAAAGTCAAATGCAGCTCATTACAATGGGAGAACAACCTGAAACGCCCAGGTGAGTCAGCTTGTTTCTATCTTTTTTCGTAAAACAATTTCATGGGGAATTTTCAGTGGTTCACCTTGTTTCAACGCTCCTTCCACGCGGGAAGAACCGGCAACAGTGGTATTCATCCCTGGCAAAGTGAGTCTTCAGATTTCGCTTTCAATTTTCAATTAAACTGAGCACAAGTTCGCTGACTATAAGTCACTAATGACGATTCGTCTAAGAAGAAACCGTTCTTCTATGGTCGAGTCGAAAAAAGTCCAAGCAGTTCGTTCTCCCTCCTCAGTCACTATTCTCTCTTTACGTTCCTGACAACGCCTCTTTGCCGTTCCTCCTTGGAAATTCCAGTCTTTTCTCACCACTTTGGACTCATCCTGTTCCACCTGAATTTCTCTTCGCCAAAGTCCTTGCTGAAGCGCGGTGAAGTTTCACACAAAAGAAATTCGCCCATTATGGGAGTGGTTGCCGCCTTCTCTCGAACGATGCATTTTAAAGGGTAATCCCTCAAGGAAGCGGAGTCCTCTCCGGTTGTCCGAATTTCCGTTGTGGGCCATTTACTCGTTTTGCTTATTGGGTGTGATTTGCATATCGGCCCGGCAATGCTCATTTCAGTTTTGAAAAGATTATGCTTCAAGCTTTGCTTCTTATGTTTATTTCTTTTTCACGATCTGTTGAAAATGTCCAACTATGCTCCAACCAAGGCAAGTCGTCTAACGGTTGGTGAGGATCTGCCAGCGGGGGTCGCATTTTACTTCCTGGACGGGGGAAGTCGTACTTGATCTGGGAATTTTCTTTGATAGTTGATTTCTCCTGTTCCATTTCACCAAAGGGGAGAGGAGGGGGGGAGATTCGGCTATTTGGCTCGTCGCTGACAGAGAGAGGAGGGTCGGGGGGGCGGCTTGGCGACAGGCGGAGAGGGCATTCTACACTTTTGGTACTTCTCATCGACGTGTCAATCCATCTGAACAGCATCTTTTCGAGCTGATTGGTTTTACCATTATGGCTTGACGAGCTTGCTCCCGCTTCACAAGAGTTCACAGCTTTCAAGCCGAGAGTGAGACTTGTAAGACGGCGGAACGCACAAGAAGCCCCGAAGTGTAAAATGCATCCCCGCGCCAGAGGGTTCGTTTATCTGGCCTTCAGAAGAAATTTGTGGCGCTGCTTGCTTCCGTTTGTCACTTTTTGCCGTAGTTTTTCTCGTGTTCTCTGGTGCTACATTCCCGCTAAATCGGCCACCTGCGCGATCGTCAGAGTTTTTGAAAAAGAACGTGAACAATTTTTGGGAAGTTTTGAAAGAAGGTGCTGGAGAAGGTGACTAACATGGTAAAGTGGGTTGGGAAAGGGGGTCGCATTCCCAAAAATCATTTCCTCAGCGATAAGACGTGCTCTGGTTCCAACTGCTGAAAGACATAGATCAATGTCGCTTAAAAATGAAAGTGTCTGAATGGCGCATGAAGACAAGTAGTTCAGGTACCCCTGAGCAGGCGCTGCGTGGCGCTTTTTCCTAGAATACCCGTTAGCGGCCGACTAATCACCTGCAACATACCGACATACTGCACCCGCCCGCCCACAAATGTCCGACCGATGCTGATGCTCGTATCGCTTCATTTGCGAAGCACAATATGAAGCGAAGGAACTCATATGAAGCGGCTGCGGTGCTGCATGGATATATGAGTACATACATGCAGCCGCGGCACTTAGCACGATGCCAACGGGAAACTCGTCCGAAATTGCTTTCTGAGTCGTGTAGAACAAAGGCTTTTTGCATATTTTGACCGTTTCACTTCGCTTTTCGCCATTTTCCCCACTATATAGCACTCCTGCTGCTATTTTAGAACGAGTACCACATTATCGTGCCTTATGCCTTCCAATCCTTCACATTCGCGTCCTTTCTAACCTGAAATGGCTTAGCCTGGGATCGAAGCTGATTTCGCTAAGACCATAAGCGTGATTTTACCTCAAAAAAGAGATAAACCTGAGTGGGCTAGTGATATTCTGGTGTAAGGGTCGGTGTGTCACTTGCCGTTTTGTAAAGTCGTGAAAGTCGGTTTATCATAAAATTCGTGATACCAGAAGTACTTTTACATTACTTTACTTTTTATTACCAACATCAACTTGCAAAACGAAACCGAATTCCGCCGCAAAGAAGGGAAGGAACAGGAGTGGGGGAACTT